CTCGCTCTGGTGAGTCTGGTCACATTTTCAAGCTTTTCACTGCAACCCAGAGGTAGCAAAGAACTAGGGTGCCTATAGACATGCAGGGAGGCTGCTTCGATGCGCTATAATTAGTGCATCAGAGCAGACTCGATTAAATCAAGTCTGCTGTAGCATGCTAATTAGTGAGCTCCAGCAGCCTCCGTGTGTTGTGCATCTGCATCCCTACACTTCAAAATGGCAGTGGGGGCATTTTAACTAAAGGTTGTTGAATGAGCTTGACTTGAAGCGCCGCCCCCCCCCCCATTTTGAAGCACAGGGATGCTGATGCATGAGATGCTGTGGGTGCTTTAATCAGAGCATCCCCACCACCAGCATGTGTAAAACACCCTAATTTTCTTTTAAATAAAAGCCAAGATGTTCACTAAATCACATGACTCCAGAAGCTGGAGCTTCAAGGAAGACACAAATGATCGTGAGAGCTAGCTATACAGTAAACTAAGGGTCCCATGTTGAAACCTACGCAAGGGATTTGAATACCCACGTCCCATTGATTCTTATCTTTTTTTAAATGATGGAGCACACTGGCTTTCAGTTACTGGGGTTTGCAATGTGGGTAATCTGAAAGATTACCTTGTTCCTCAGGATGTATGGCCAGGACTCTGGGACTTGCTCCCCCACCAGAGTCCAAAATAGTTCAAACTTGGTGATCTTCAGGGCACAGCCCTTTGCCAAAGATGTATGTGGGATTGCTCACCAGAGAACCAGGAGGCTCCCATAATGAGGACAGGAGTCTCAGTGCAATCTCTCAGCCATGGACTTGCTTTGCTGACAGACGGAGTGAATTACCCAGCGGGAGGCAGCACCGTACCTGCATGTCATTGCCCGGTACTGTAGAAACGTGTAGCGTATTGGCTGATTCCCCTAACTCCTTCCTGTATCCGCCCTTGTGACCCACCCACATGGATTCAGGATTGATTTACAAATTCAGGGCTACATTCACATCTCCACAACTCACAGGGGAAGGAGGACACGGCCCCAAAGCTCACGACTGTCATGGAGAATTTCGGACCTTTGGTCACCTCAGCTCAAAGAACCGCTGCTAGCCTGCCTGCGTGAAGCAGGGTCTGGCTCTCACTACATTGCCCAGGAATGCTCCAGGCCCTGCTCTTCGGGCCAAGGGGAAGGTCAAGACACCACCCCACCCTTCTCCACACAAAGCCCTTTTACTCCAGAAAACAGGCATTTAGCTTTTCTCAGGAAAACGCTGCTTTACTGTTCAGGCCTTGAAAGTCCAGGAGTGCCCTCTGCTGGGGTGAAAAGGGAGCCGAGGCAAAGCACAGCAGCGGCAGATGGGAGCTGGTGGCTCAGAGTCAGGAGGGCGCTTGTACATGTGACGATTGTCACCACATACACATGACCAAAATTTCCTTTGTTTGGCTTAATAGCATCATACGTTACATGTGCACAAGGTTTGGGGGTTTCAAATGAATTTGCAATGTTGCAAACTAATCCCCGTGTAGTTTAGTTTGCAACATTGCTACTTGTAATATTGCAGCCTTTAATCTGACAGCACACCCCCCGGCTCTGCTGAAAAAAAAGGACTGGGCCCCTTGACACTTCTCCTTTCAGCAGGTACCTGGCCGCCGCAGGCACCTGCTGAATGCAGAATTGCCGAGGGGCTCATTCCCTTTTTTTTTCCCCCCACAGAGCCTGTTCACCTCTCCCACGGCCAGGGGGCGAGCTGCCGGTGGACCAAATGTCCCCTGAGCTGCCCTGATCCTTCCCTCCATGGTAGCAGCACTCCCCAGAGCAACCCAGGTGGGCAGCTAGCAGGCCGGATGCTGCCCGAAGTCAGAGGCAGCACACCACTGGATCCAACTCTTCCCCGACCATGCCGGGGCTTCCAGCTCCCTGTGCACTGTCCCAGCCACGTTCCTGCTGCCTGGGACTACCCAGGAACGGGCTGGCTTGCCCCTAGGGCAGTGCAGGGAGGTGGCAGGAGGGTGGCTGGGTATGCTGGCAGCCAGAGAAGGCGGCAGGGATGGTGCATGGGGCACTGGAAACCCAGGCAGGCTCGGTGGGCTTCCAGCACCCCATGCACTGTCCCCACCACCTTCTCTGGCTGCCAGCATACCCAGCCACCCTCCTGCCACCTCCCCACACTGCCCTAGGGACAAGCCAACCTATTCCTGGGAGGCTCCAGGCAGCAGAAAGGTGACGGGGACAGTGCACAAGGCATTGGAAGCCCTGGCAAGCTCAGGGAAGAATTGGATCCAGCTGGGTGCTGCCTCCAAGCTGGGGCAGCATTTGGCCCATAGGTGGTCCACACGGGTAGCCCTGGGGGCACCACCGCTGTGGAGGGAAGGACCCGGGCCCCCTGAAGCTCAGGAGCCACTCGGCCTGCTGGCAGCTCGACCCCCAGCTGCAGGCAGGTTCCACCGAGGGGGAAAAAAAATGATTGGGCCTCTTGCCATGACAGAAGCCCCTAAATTGATATGGTGGGTTTCAATTAAAAACCCACCATTTCAATTTAGTCACCATAGAATAAAACCCTGAGAACTAAATGCCCGTCATGTGTGCAAGTGCCCAGGGAGACCTCCAGAGTGGACATGAGGCAGGGCTGCTGCAGGTGTGGAAGCAAGACAGTACAAATACCTTTCATGGCAGCCCCTCACAGATCCCATGTACCTCCCCAGAGACATTCTGCTCCGCTGGGCTCAGGGGTCAGCACAGCCACAGACTGCCCAGAAAGCCAACAGAGAAACATGCTTATGGGCCCTCTGGGGCACAGAAGCACACGCTGCTGCGTGACTTCTGCCATGGAAGGCCAGTGCTATTGCTCTGGCTTCCTGGGCTACCTAGGCCATGACATGTTGGTATGCAAAAAGGATGTCACTTGTGAAGAGCCTCCAGGCATGGGCTTTCTGCTGCCTTTAGATGATACCTTCTGCTAGAACACTCTTGGCTAATTCAGAATCACAACACATTTCATAGGTATTTTAACAGGTCTGTGCAGTGTTTTATAGGACAGTATAATCTTGCATTTGTACAATCAATCACACATCCCCAGGCCCACTCATTGGGATGCTCTCTCAGCATCCCAGCTGTGCACAACTGCAGCCTGTAGGCATCCATGTGTGGTGCCCGAGTTACATGGCAGCAAATGGATGCCTATCTAAAGTGATGCTGTTTGAGCACTCATGGTGCTCCAGCCAGGTCCCTGAGGACTGGAAAAGGGCCAACGTGGTGCCCATTTTTAAGAAAGGGAGAAGGGATGAGCCAGGTAACTTTAGGCCAGTCAGTCTTACCTCTATCCTTGGGAAAACACTGGAAAAAATTGTTGAAGAGTGCATTTGTGAAGGCCCAGCAGGGGAAATGATGCTGAAAGGTAACCAGCATGGGGTCGTCATAGGTAGATCCTGCCTGACAAATCTTACAGCCTTTTATGACCAGGTAACACACTGCTGTGACACTGGAGCTGAGGCAGATGTCATCTACTTGGACTTTAAGAAGGCCTTCGATACTGTTTCGCATTGTTCTCATAGGGAAACTAGCAGGCTGTGGAGTGGACGCTTAACACAGTCACGTGGGTGGCAAACTGGCTTAGGGACTGCACTCAGAGAGTGGTGGTGGATGGGTCGTTTTTGACCTGGAAAGGGGTGGGCAGTGGTGTCCCGCAGGGGTCGGTCCTTGGACCAGTGTTATTTAATATCTTCATCAGCGATTTGGACCAAGGTGTGGAGAGCAACCTGTCCAAGTTCGCAGATGACACCAAGTTATAGGGCAAAGTTGGCACACTGGAGGGCAGGGAGTAGATTGAGGCCGATCTGGACAGGATGGGTCAATGGGCAGAATGAAATAGGGTGCAATTCAACAAAGACAAATGCAAGGTACTCCACCTAGGAAGGAGGAATCCCCTGCACACCTACAGGCTGGGGGATGACGTCCTCAGCAGCTCAGCAGCTGAGAGGGATCTTGAAGTCATATTTGACTGCAAGATGAACATGAGCCGACAGTGTAACGAAGCCATCAACAAAGCCAACCAAACCTTGTCGTGCATTAGCAGATCCATGACCAAGAGATCGAGGGAGGTGATGCTCCCCCTCTACGTGGCACTAGTCAGGTCGCAGTTGGAGAACTGTGTCCAGTTCTGGGCACCGCACTTCAACAGGGACATGGAAAATCTGGAGAGGGTGCAGAGGAGGGTCACTCATATGATTAGTGGCCTCCATGCAAGACCCTACGAGGGGAGGTTGAGCGATCTGGATCTCTTCAGCCTTCACAAGAGATGTCTGAGGGGAGACCTTGTAGCAGCCTATAAGTTTATCAAGGGAGGACAACAGAGAGTTGGAGATGCACTATTTACCAGGGCACCCCTAGGAATAATGGGTACAAACTAGTGGAGAGTAGATTCAGGTTAGACATTAGGAAGAAATTTTTCACAGTAAGGGTGGCCAGAGTCTGGAATGGGCTTCCAAGAGAGGTGGTGCTATCACCTGACTTGGAGGTCTTCAAGAGGAGGCTAGATAGGCACCTGACTGGGGTCGTCTGACCTTGGTCCTTTTCCTGCCTGGGGCAGGGGGTCGGACACTATGATCCTTTGGGGTCCCTTCCGACTCTACAATCTATGAATCTATGATGCAACTTGCACCTTCTTCTGGATCTCCCAACAAGTGAGTTATGTTACCCGATACTGGTCTCTGAAACTGCCCTTTGAAAAGATGAAACAAGGCAAATTCATTCTCATTCATCTCCAGCCAACACAGCCAAGACCAGAAATGATGGAAAAGTGGAGGAAATCAGCCCAAATTCACAAATAATTTACAAATTATGTTTGTTTCAGAGATCTAACCTGGGCCTATTCTTTGCTTGTGTGTTTTGTTTTTTTTATTGAAGTGAAAATACTACCATGATTATTCATTTATCAAAAACCCTGGAGGGGGTTTTGGTTCATGGTCCAGTGAAAAAAAAACAACCAATGACCAATGTCAAAAAACCATTTTAATAAAAAATTCCCATAAAAACATAAAAAGCAACATATTTGGAAAAAAATGGGTTCTGAGGTGGATTTTTTAATATTAAAAAACAAAAAGGATATTTCTGGACAAAAAAAAACCCTCAATTTTTTTTCATCCAAAAAGATCCCAACCAACGCAACCCTCACAGCTCAGGACTGTTTATTCCAGATTGATCGGGCTTCCCCAGTCATAGCACCAGTGATCCCTATTCATGAGTGGGGATGTTGTTGAACTGGGAGGTTGGTTTCCTGAGAACAGCATCTTCTCAGTGCTTTGTAAAAGGGCTGCCTTTGCCCGTGTATAGGGGGGTATGCGCAGAGGAGCCTGACCCACAGAAGTGCACTCAGGATGAAGGGATAGGTCCACTGTTCCTCAGAGGGCAAGAGACTCTCTGATTACATTGGACAGTCACTGTGATGCAAACCTGAGATGGGAGTTCAAGTAGATGACTGATGAGAGGTATTTGGGTAAAAGACCCAACCTGGTGAGCCACGTGGATTGTGGAATAAGAGTCCTTCTCCTATGATCAGAGGAGAAGACAGGGGATCCCAGCCACCATCTTCAGGACTGCCCTCTGTTACATATGCATACTGCATACCATGGCAGTCAGCACCTTGGTGTCATGGTCCCTTCAAGTGAAGCTCATAAGAGAGTCTGACTGGAATTCACGTCCCAGCAGCCCATCCATGGCAGCTGAGTGGCCCATTTCCCAGTCATCACCACCTGCAACTTGCCCTGGTCAAATTTCCAGTATTGATCATCCTGGAAGAAGTAAACAAAGCCATCGTGGTGGGTCAGGGCACCATTCACTTCAGCTGGGACCCCATTCCAGTCCCTCAGGCTCCTGGGGTAGTAGGGCTCCACCTGCAGCGTCTCCTCACTCACCACGTAGTACTTGGGACCTTTGAAGAGGACGAGGTGGTGGAGCTGCTGGAAGTACAGGGCTGCGTTGGGGTGTCGGGGGAGATTGCTAGTGCTGCACTTCTGGGGGAACCCTGCCTCCAGTGTGGAGCCTTTGTATCGCCAGCATCGGCCACCTGAGGAGGAGCAGAGACAAAACTGGTTAGGTCAGCATGGACGGAGACTGTGTAGGCAGCAGGACACAGCCTGAGGAAGATGGGAGCCAGGAGATGAATGACAGAACTACCACAAACTAATTAGGCAGGAGACAGGAAGGGAGAGAGGGGAAACTGAGGCACAGAGAAAGGCCCATAATCACCCATCAGGAAAGAGCAGGAAACAGAAGTCAGGCCGGTGTGCTGTTCATAAGGCTGAATTGTGTAAGCTAGGACACCTGCTTGACACACGAGAGATGGCACCAACGCAGTCCAATAATCCTTCTCCCTCCACTCCCCATTTGTTTGTCTCACAACCTGCTGCCTCATCACTGCCTTCTCAGCGGGTGCTCATGCCATGCTCAGCACTGCAAGGCCCAGAGCCCAAGCTAGTGCCTCCAGCAGTGGTGCTGATACAAAGAAATAATAGCAAGAAGAAAAGCATCTCCATGTCATCCCTGGCTTGTGACCATTTCCTCCCATGCTTTAACTCCAGCACTGGCTGTTTCTGGCCACTTGCTTACCCTAGCAGGGCTGGGTTATGGCAAAGCAAGGGAACAAAAGCTCTTTTCAAACAGCTTGTCCAGCTCACAAGCTGTGCCTGATCCCAAACCCACAGAAAGGGGTGGAGCAAGGGGGAAGAGGGGCTGCTGGCCCCTGCCCAGCTGTAGCGACAAAGCCCCCATTCTGAGTGGCCTTCGGGTGTTTCAGTTAACAGCTCATGCTATCCCAACAGCCATTTTCCTCTGTGGCCCAGAGAATGGGTAGAGCTCCCCCAAGAGCACACGGTGAATCAGTGGCAGGCTGGGAATAGAACCCAGGAGTCCCAGTTCCCAGTCTACTGCTATTTATTATATACATTATGGTGGCATCAAAGAGACCTGGTGATGACCAGGAACCCTTTGTGCTAGGTGGTCTACAGCTCTAGTGCCCTGGCCCCCAGGCACTGCTGCAGATGGACAGACAGATAGACAACACTAAGAGAGAGCAAGGACATAAGGGGGAGATTTTTGTTGCTCCCCGCTTCCATCCTCAGGTCTCATTACCTTTGAAGAAGTAGAATTTGCCATCTGCCTCTGACCAGGTAGCCGCATCAATGCCAGCTGGGAGCCCTGCCCATCGGGTCTGCAGGGGCTGTGGCTCTGTGGCTTTTCCCCTCTTTGACCCCAGCCAGTAGTGGTTGCCCTTGAAGATGTACAGGTTGTGATCTGCATCTGTGCAAACAAAGAGGAACATGAGCAAGGGGCCTTTGGTAAGAACCTGAGCCAAGGTTCCCACAACCAACCTCACCCCTGCAGCACCAACCAGGGCATAAATCTGTGTGTGGAAGGGCACTGCAGCAGTGGCTCCACCACTGCATCTACCACAACTTCCTCTCTGCCTCTGGACCTGCACTCAATGCCCTCCACTTCTTCCTCACTCTACTCACCCTAGGGGACCCTTTCTTCTCTAGTATCAACACTGTTGCAAGTTCCCTCTCCCTCTATTCTCACCTCCACCTGGAGGCACTGCTGCCACATGCCACATACCCCTGGTATGTCTTTCACTGCAAATTGTCTTTCCTGAGCCCTTTAATATCTCAGTCCTTTCCACCTCTGACTTCCATAAATGACCTTGAGGAAGGCAAACAACTCCAGTAAACCGGGTGGTTCAGGGGGAGGGTCCCAGGCAAGGGCCCACCATTGAGAGACTGGTTCACATGCACATGCTCACCAACAGTGATGGCATCAAAGAAGGAGTGGCAGTAATAAGAGACATGTCTGCCTTGCTGCTGAGTGCCACCTGGGAAGGTACGGCTCCAGTCCTGGAAATGAGCAAATACTTTCCCTGGAAGCTGCACAGCTGAGCCCTTGGAAGGCTTCCCTGTGATAGGAAGAGAAAGCAGAAGACATATCCAGTGGCTGGACAGGCAAAAACATAGGTGGCTTCTCCCAGCTCTTTGGTAAACCCAGGCTGCATGGTGACCCTGAATTGACATAGACTCCACCCAGGGGGGCTATGACCAAGGATCTTAGGTCCTTTTGTCCCTCTGTCTGTAAGGCTTCATACACTCTCTTGAAGCCCTTTAAATAGGAGGTCCTATTGTGACTGGTGCCCTGCCTCCCTGGCATTCAACATGGATTTCCCTTCGTGGGTAGGACCAAGGGTCAGAAGAGGCTCTGAGAAAGCCAAGCTCACCGTACAGGTTCTGGACTGCGAGGATGTCGTCCCAGCTCAGGACAAAGTCCTTGCTGAGTTTTTTATAGTAGGGAGACATCAAGGCACTCTTGACAGGCGAGTGCTCCAGTCCCAGGGTGTGCCCAATCTCGTGTGCTGCCACAATGAACAGGTTGCGACCCTTGCTGCTGTGCAGGGACCATCTCTCATCACTGTCAAAATGGGCCTCCCCACGGCGGGGGAAGAATGCATGGGCCAGGGCCCCCCCTGGTGAAACACAAGAGGCAGAGGAGGTTAGACTCCCCACCCAGGTCTGCACTCTGGGCTGGATGCCTGGGCGCAGCAGGGTTAAGAACACAGCAGCAGCTCCGTGCGCAAACAAATACAGTGCCGATGTGAGACTGACAGCCGCATAGACAGCCCCCTCTAGACAAGTCCCACCCCCAGTGCTGCACTGGCAGGGAGGATTTCCTCCACACCCTCCCGATGATGAGGGAGATCCATACTGAGGAACAAGACTCCTGAAGGGACTACTCAGGCCTGGATCACTCTACTTAGGCTACCAACAAGCATGTAAATGGTAGTGGTGGTTTGGCGAGGTGCAAGTCTCTCCACTAGGAGCTGCCATCAGTTCACACAGCCAATGAGACCTGTAGATTAGGGTTGACCCAGGCTGGATGTGAACTGCCAGCCCAGGTTATTCCACCTGATGCTCCACAAACATTCACTGAATATTTTAAGGGTCCTGTTGCATGTTACACTTAGGATACGTTTTATTTAGAAAGTAGTAAGCATTACTATGTGTTAGAAAGTTTTCTAAGCAGTCGCACAGTAATGCTTACTATGATCCCAGCCCTCTGAACAGGGTTGGAAGCCAGGTGTGCAGTTGACAAACCACTGATTGTAGGTCCCAGCCCTGGCCCTGCATCAGAGCCAGTAAGGACCACTAACATCATCTCCATAGAGCAGTTCCACTATAGTGTAACATGATTAGCTCTTAGCACATTTATGTGCTTGAATGCACTGATGCTTGTTTTAAGTGTGGTTAACACATCATAAAATGTAATGTGGGACAAGGCCCTAAGACACCAACAGCCCCACAGCAGTGCTATTCAGGCTGGTGAAATTGAGAATCTAACACAAAATTTAGACTTAAAAATTTATTTCCAGAGATGATGAAAAGGAGCTCAGCCCAAGACAATAATGCTTTAAGATTAAATGAATTGATCATTTTGATGGCCTGAACTAACTGCAACAGTGTTTTGGGTGGGAATTAAAAAGCCTTTGAAAAAGGCTGATCTTGGATACCGGGGACTAATCTTTTTAGCAACAGAGAAGCTAAAATGATTTCTGTTATTCATTGGTAAGCACTGGGTGTGGGACTAAGTATGTTGCAATGACTCACCGTCTACTGCCTCAAGGCTCTATGAACTGAAGTGATACCAGGGATCTCAATACCTCAGAAAGGGTGTGATGGACATGGGAGGTAATAGTCTGAGTTTTTAAAAGTCTGTGACCCGGAGTTCCTGTGGTCATGAAAGGTCGTGAGGCACCTATCTTTTCCAGGACAAGTCATTCTCTACTCAGATTGGAGCATTATTCAAACACTGCCACCCTCCATCCCAATGTCCTGACTCAGGTCCTCCTTAGAAAGTTCTACCCCACCTATACTGGTCTCACATTGGTGTAAATCAGGAGGAACACCACTAAAGCCCAATGCAAGAGCAGTCAAGCCCACCCTTTTTCTTGAAGCATAGCATGCTATTCATCATTAGGAGCTTTATTGATGGGATGGAGCAGCCCTGCCTTGTCCCACCGCCCACTTCTCGCTGCCTGGTAAGAGTCCACATGGTAAAAGAGCAGCTTACGAGGAGGGAGTGATTAGCACCTGGCCCATCGAAGGCGTTGCCAAGTCCATCGTTGTGGTCACCATGGAAGAATGTCAGGCGGATGTCAGCAGGACCGTCCTGCGCCTCCCAGAACACCAGGGAGGAGACGTTGCTCCAGAGCTCAAAGGCTGCTTTCACAGCCAGTTGCACCTGGTGCTGGGGCAGGTACCAAGGCCAGTTCACAATCCGGTAGCTGAGGTGCCGTTTGTACCACTTTCCACCTGTGAGAGGAAGGAAATGTTGCAAAGAGGCTGCTAGGACTCTGTTCTGCTCCCTGGCAGCAGCCCTTTCTATGCAGAGATCTACCTGTGTTTCGTAGAGGATGGCTCAAACCCACTGAATGACCTCTCTGCTCCTCTGCTTCCTGACTATGCAATGCTTGCCACCACCCTCTATATCACCACTAAATCAGACCTGGTCCCCCAGGGGAAGGAAGGTCTGTGCCCCCTGGTACCAGAAATCAATGGGGATTTTGCCTGAGTAAGGAGAGAAGCTGGATCACAGAGGCTGACTGATACCTTTTCAACTCCTTGCACAGCTACCCAAACCAAGAGGAGCAACTGTACTTGGACAAGAAGACCTTCTTCCCCTGGATCCCAAGGCTGCAAACATACAACCCACTTACTCTGCAACAAATCAGTGAAATCTAGGGCAAAATTACCTCTTAGTACACAGTAGCAGGTAGAATGTGTTGTAAGCCCACTCCCTTAGTTCAGTGGTGCCCAACCTTCCACCCTGCTGACCAGATAAGTGTGGCGTTGGTCTGACGGCTGGATCCTGTGCATGGATAGTATGTAGGGTTGGTCCATGGGCCTGATCCTGTGCTGGTTTGATCCAACTTCATGCCAGCTCAAACCTGTGCACTCAGATCCAACTGACCCAATCTGGACCTGCTCCAGCCCAATCTGGCATGCAGGGCCATGTTATCCAGCCAGCGGAGTTCCTCGTGGGTCTGGAAGTTTGGCGACGGGAGAGTGGCAATTAATACTGCCACTGCTTTCCTACCGCTAACTTTGTAGACCTTTGGGGAGCCCTGCAGGCTGGATGACATAGCTCTGTAGGCCCTATCTTGCCTAGGGGCCAGAAGATCAGCACCCTACCTTAATCTATTTCATCCATGGGGTAACTCTTTGGTGCCCCACCACCTAGTGGCCAGACACTGTAAAAGCACCTACTGCAGACAGCCAGACAGCTCAGCCTAGTTATGTGTCCACTATTTACAATGGAATAAATTTACTACAGATTAAAATACAGGATAAATTACTTCATGGGAATCATACTATGCGTCTGCACTCTTACTGCAGTTCTACTGGAGTCAATGTATCTACTCCACTTTCCCCCCCAACTGAAGATTTGACCCAATAACTTAGCACCTATGGATTTCAATTAATGAAAACATGGTTGCTTCTCAAAACTAATATCCCACAGGGGGAAGGAAATACCAAGGATGTAGGAACCAGAATGACCTTAGCCACATGGAGAAGGCTGGATGTGACTGTGGCTACAATAGCCTAAGAAGAATGAGATTTCTGCAACTATTAACCAGAAATACTGGGGGCTGGGGGCCAGCCAAAAAGATTCAATCCCCAGAAAAAATACTGACAGGTTTGAAACTTGCTATCAGGAAGGAATAATATTCAAGTCTGTAACAGACCCCAAGCTAATGTCACACAGGAAGCTGCAGAGAAACAGAAATGGGAGCCCCTACTGCTCTTCATTGGGATGAAACCCAATTCTGGGAATAAGCTGCTTCACGCAAACCCTGCTGGGGGCCTATGTGGCAGAGATCAGATCCAAGGTCATCAGGCAACAATGCTGCACTTCAAGCCGCAAAACTATGGCACGGGGCAGGCTGGGGTTTGTGTTCATCTGCCTCTCACATGCTGTGTACCAGCCATTGTGTAACACGCTTTTGATCTCTGAATCAACCTGCAGTTTCAAACGCAGGCAAGAATCAGGTCATAGACAGATGAACACATACTCCAGGGTAATTTACATTGGTTTTGTATATGGACCTGGCCCCAAACCAGCTGGGAGTCAGGAACAGACACAAATGCAACTATCCCAGCATAGCTGAATGTCCTTGGCACCTATTGCTGCATCTCCCCAGGAGGTGGGAGGGGAACACATCTGCATTTAGTGAACTGCTGCCCTGCAGTGCAGTGGATATGGACAGAGGACACTGAAACCAGGATAAACATATAGTTCTCATTACTGTGGTATCTATGTGCCTCACAGTCCCTGACGAAGGGACTTTGATCCCGAAAGCTTGCAGAAAAGGACAATTTTCTTGCCACTTTCCAGTTGGTCTAATAAAAGGTATCATTTTGGAACCACAAGTTCTAGTTTTTTGTATGTCTTTTTGTCTCAGACCAACACAGCTACCAAGTACACCCCCCTGAAACATGGAAGATACCAAATTTTAGCTGCTTTTGGATTTTAAACTTAATTGCAGAACTACAAGGAAGTTTTTTTGCTTCCCTGCATCCCTGCCTTCAGGGAAGGAAATCTACCTGATCAACACATCAAAGAGCTACTCAACACAGCTCACAAAGACACTCTCATGGACCCAGAGGGACAGACTTCCATCTCTAGCTCCCTCTGTGCAAAAATGAAGTTTATTTCCTACCTATGGGGACTTTTTACCATCTTATACCATCTACACTTTTCCCAGAGTCTGACAAAGGGACTTTGATCCCGAAAGCTTGCAGAAAAGGACAATTTTCTTGCCATTTTCCAGTTGGTCTAATAAAAGGTATCATATTGGAACCACGAGTTCTAGTTTTTTCTTTGTCTCACAGTCTATAGGGTATTTATCTGAGTGGTAGGGCAGGGCAGTGGTATTTGCATGACTGAACTGACTGTGACTTGTCTGAGGTCACACAGGGAGTCTGTGGAAGAGAAGAGACTCACACTCAAGTCCTCCAAAGTATTGGCCTCCCTAAGGATCAGTATTGCCCTGTCAAATGGAGTTGCACCGATTTGCCCATCATAATTCCAGGGAACCTTGGAATGCTATACATGCATACGCAGATGCCAAAGAACAAGAAGAGTGGGTTTCAACTGGTTGTGAAGAAATTCCTGGGGTCACACACATGCTTTATATAAGGGCTGAGCATCTTTGTCTACAGCCAGAGCCAGCAGTTGTCTCCAGCCAGAGCAAGCAGGAATAACCAACCAGCTAGCTAGATGCAATGCCTGGGAGCTGCATCTCTGGAAATGCTTCATATAACTTTGCTATATGGGTGTGGCATTACCCAGGGAAGATGCTGTGTTGAAGCCTTACTTAAGAGATAGACAGGCACTCTCCCCATTGTGTTTCAAGCCATATTTAGAAAGCGGTGCAGGGTGTAGCATTTTGCACCAGCTATAATCTGTCAAAAGCAGTTGACAGCAAGAGATTTTTTGAATATCTAAATGGATTCTGATGACCCTTCCACTTCTAGAACCCCTTCTCCAACCCACCAGGCTGAACAGGGGCAGAAATCTGCGTTCATTGTCACCGGAGTCCAAACACACAGTTTGGCAGCAGTAGCCCTAAGGCAACTCTCCTTCAGAGATTCACTCAGACCCAATATTTAGGGCTGGTGAAAAGCAGGGAGAGGAGACTACCATACTGAAGAGAAACAGGCCTGCGATCCTAGGCCAAGTCTGTCCCAGGCTGCCCCATGTTAACCCCTGCAGAGCTCTTTGAGATTTATCCAGGGATGGTTCTCATTGGAATTTGGCCCTTAACTGGGGTAGTGCTTTAACTCACATTAGTCTATTTTAACGCACATTAAAGTGTCACAAAAAAGCACGCACTTTCGCTAATGTGCCTTTTTCTAGTACCCCACAATGGAGGTACTAAATTTAATGTGCATTAACAAAAGTGAATTAATGAGTGTGTAGATGCGACCAGTGTGGATGAAAATCTAGTGCCTATCCTGCAGCTCTTCTAACCCATCAGCACAACAAAATGATAGTGCAGGAACCAAGTGAAACAGACTTGGAACCCAGATGAAATCAACAGGGTCCCGGTTCAACAACTGAAAATGAAAGACAAGGTGCAAGGGGGGCAAGGGGCAGCCCTGCCCCTGCAGCAGGCAGGCACCAAGCTCAGGCTGGTGTGGGCAATAGGTGTCCCTCACTCCTTAGCATCAGCCCTTTCTACCTCAACCAACTGCAGGCAGAGCTGTGAGCTTGCTCCTGAATTCTATGGGCTGAATTCTTATCTCAGGCTGTGGTAAACCAATGATTTACACCAGGGTAAGAGCCAGTGTCTATAAACCCAAATAAGAGCAGCTGAAGGCAGAGCTAGCAACAGGATCCAGGAAAGAACAGGCTCAACCTTGACAGATGGCTTTCCCCCAGTAAGTCTTGACCATTTCCTAGCACTTATCCTGTTTTGTTGAGGCAGCACTTTCATAGCAGCTGATCCCTCTGGTGTTAGGGGAGAAGATCAGTTTTTCTGCAGCCAGCAGAGTGAGTTTCAGGCTCTCATCATGGATTCCTCCAAACACACATATCTCCTGTCACAGGCACAGCTGGATCAACTCCTGCTGCTGGAGCCAAAAGGATCAATGCAAGGGGGATGCATGTTTCCAGCAGGCTCCCTTCCCTCTTGCAAGGGCAGCCTGGGACTGGGGCTAAAATTTATAACCTCAAGTGGTAGAGAGTGGGGAGGTGTTGGGCATTGTCCTGGGTCCTGTTCTCACTCCAGTAAGGTGAGCGAGGGCACTGCACAGAGGCAGCTGTGACCAGTTAGGCAGCTGTGACCATTGCCATAATGGCTCTGAGGGGGTCTTTAGGGAGAGCCCGAGCCAGGGAAAGCTTCAGGAAGCAAGTGTATTCTGTAGCTTGCTACCCGCTGGTGCTTCAAACCAGCATTGCTACAAGCAGCAAGGTTGATGGGCAAGTTATTCTCCCTCCCTGCAGGAGACTGGAAGGGGTATTTGCAGTGGAGATCCAGGCTGTCAGGAAGGAAGGGGACAGAGAGAGGTGCTACACCAAGTCCTGGCCCTATGATGAGCACAAGCTTTGAATGTCCCTTTTTCAGGGAAACCCAAGATCCTGTTTTGTGCAAGAAGCTGCCCTCCCATGCACAGGTTAAGGGTCCCAAAGCACAATCAAAACATTTCTCTCCTGATTTAATCAGTAAAGGCCCACTAGGCTGGACCAGGGTTCAGGCCCCAGCTTCCAGCCACACTGCATGGTTCATCCCATCATATATATTCACTCAATGGGGGACTATGCAGCTTCTGCCATGCCAGCTTCCTCCCCCGATTGACTCATCCTGACTAAACTAGTCCAGTGAATTGGCTTTGCTGCCTCCTCTGAAATGCCTTCACACTCCAGGGGACTCTCCTTGAAGGACTCTCCAGGCTTTAGTGAATAGATTGGGGCTGCAAGGGCTCAGTCTGGAACCAGACAGGCACCTCTCACTCCCTCTGACCCCATGGGCTTCTCCTAGGGACAGACATTACACATAAACCAGTTTAAGTGACCAGAAACTTGTTTAAACCTGTAACAGAACAGATGTTCAGTGCACATAAACTAGTTTGAAAAGGGCTTAAACAGGTTTGAGATAAATCTGGTTGAATGTAGTATCAGACTTAACTGATTTGGCTCAAACTGGTTTATGCCCCAAGCATCTGGGCATATTCTCTGGGCTAGGCGGGGCTCTCTGCTCCACAGCAGGGCTGGCCCCACCCCTCTGCTCCCTGGCTCCAGCCCCCCCCCCCTGTTAAGCAGGAATTCTCCCCGTCCCCTCTGCCTTCCTGAGGAGGTGTCTGTGTATTAGCTAGCTGACCACATGCTGGCTAGGTCCCTGATGAACTAACAGACAGAATCAACAAGCAGCTGGTAATGTCCCTCCTTGTTTTCTAAATTGGGTGTTAAATACTGTTATCAATTCCCTGCTGGGCTACTCACCGCATCCTGCAGTAGCCTGGCCACACCCCTCCCCTCAGCTCCATGCTGTGGAAGGAAGGGAGAGCTGCTCTAGCACCCCTGGCTTGTAGCCTGAGCCACTGTAGGCATGTGCCTACCTGTCTGGGCTGTCTGTCCAGTTACAAAACTGATTTAGCTTAGCCAGGTTAGACTAACTTACAAAGACTGCATCAATTCAGGCTCAGGCTTTTTGAATGTCTGACCCTAGCCCTAAAGCAGAATCCAGTCCTAGATGTAGGGTTACAGGAAGTGGGAGCAAGGGGATGCCAGCTGAAAGCAGTGATTCTTGTCAGCACAGGGGAGTGGTGCCCCCCACCACAATACTCTTTC